TGTAAATGCCTTGAATGCATAAAGAAGCGCTTTTGTAGAAAAATGAATTGAACATAAAAGTAAGTATCTCATTTGAAGACACTTACATTATAATGTTTATGAGTAGAATTTCATAACTTGGCACCCTCTTTATGTAACGCTAATTTCGGTTGTGTCTGTGCGCTATCTTCGCAAACTGCAGAGAGCTGACAATTTATGGCAGGCCGCGCACGTGCGAGAGATACCGATAAAGTATACAGCCTTGCCTCCCTTGATAACGCCCAGTATAATAGGATTTACTGTACGTAACATAATGGACCATTCTGCGCCGTTTTCTTATTCTTTCTTGAGATAAAATGTTCAAATACTAGCGATATCTGGTTATCAGTGTCGCCGCAGCGAGGCTCCGGAAATGAACGAACCTGTATGATAACAGCGCCGCCCTGTGACTTCACAATACGAAAATAATGTTATCTCGCGAGGTTTTATGCCTTTTGTGGCGTTTTTCTTTCACTTTTGTTTAGCACAATCGACGCTGATTGTTAATTGAGTTGCGAAAATGTTACCAAATGAATTTGATCAAGATTTCTACTTCAAATCCGCTAACGATGTTGACGTTTATTAAGCTCGAAGTTTTCAAGAGGAAAAATTCGCCACAATTTCATACTTATTGTTTCATTTTTACGAATTTCGACTCACGCAACGCGTTAAGCATACACACCTACCCCAATTTCTGACCCACCCTAACGTAAAATGTAGTACATTCTTCCATTGTCGAAAACTGTAGTTAGTTTCCGAAACATTTTAGTAAAAACTAAAAACATACAGGATTTTAGCTTGACAGATAAATGTTCAATTAAATATTCGCTCTCCAATTTTCAGTTAGAAGATTGTAGATTACTTTTTAAAGTCTGCAACTTTCATAATTTCTACTAAATAGTAAATGCAATTGCCCAAATTTCCAACTTCTACACTACAGCTGTGTGTTTGTAGGTCTGGTTTTCCAACTTCCAATCTCTAGCTCGGTGTTCCCTAAATTTTGTACACTGACATCCCATATGACCGGATTTTCTATACGCTTCCTTTGGAATGTACATACTTCATCCAGGGATCCAGCTTATAGTTCATATTCCCGTTCCCATGTGACCCCAGTTCCGTTATCGGCCTTTGTATTCCTATTACCAGATCACAATTTTCCAATTTCCAATTATTTCATGATGTCGAGTGTCAGTTCTAGTAGCTGTTTCCGGTTACTGATGTACTCTTCCTTCAAGTTGCTAGTTCAGATTTAAATATCTGAGTTTGAGGCTCTCCGTTTCCTGCTTAAGTTTTCAACACCCACTTTCTATAACCCAATTTCTGAATTTCATATTCTGCAAATAGGACGTACTGTAGCGAGTCATATGTGTTGTTGTGCAAGGATTTTGAAAATGAATCAAAAAAACTTAAATAGAACACATTTATTCTTTGCTTTTCTGCTTTTATACCTCTTGCTATCTAACATATTGCAACCACCTATTTGATTTGATACAATCAAATCATCTTCCAGGCCACTCAGATGTGGTTGTGATTCAATAGTAACCAAGTGTTTGTGCTTCAATAAAGCACCATTAGTGCAGTTTTTAAAAGACCTTTTATGTAGCCTGTGGTTTTGCTTTTAAAATTTTAATAAAGGCTAACATTTCCTTCCTATAACTTATTATATGATGCGGGGGTGCAATTCTCTATTAATTTTCGTTATACTCCTTATACGATCGCCATAGTTTTCTTTTTTCTGTAAAATATTCTAAATTTGTCAGTGTTCTTCGTACACTCCACAAAACCATAAAACCTATTCAATTTTAGAAGATCAAAGTTTGAAATTAGGATTAGCAAGTACAAGTATTATTTGATTTGGCGGTCCGTCTTGTTCGATAATTTAATAAATCCAAAGCATTCTAAATATTCGAAGGATAAAAATCTGTAATATATCAAGGGAAAAATGCGAAGAATTTGTCAGGTCATTCAAATTCTTTGGGTTACCTTTGGCATTTTTTCAATTTTTGAGCTTGATTCAGATTTTACCGACAAATTTTCTCAAATCTATAGATCCTTCACGTTCTTGGAATTCTTCCGACCCTTCGGATGTCTCCTATTTTTTGATTGCTTTAGATTATTTTGATCTAAAGATTTCTCGGATTCTAAGGGTGTTTCAGATTTTTTTTTAATTCTTTGGATGACTCAAATTTTTCCAATTTGCAGAATTCCACGAATTCTTCAGATTATTCACTCTGTTGAAATCTTTTAGTTTCCTTAAATTCTTCTTCTATTTATTGTTCAATTTTTTCTTATCGTTTCTGGCCTTAGCCTCTTCATATCCTTCGGATTCTTCTGTTCCTTGAGACTTTTTATATTCTTTCGGTTTTAAGATTCTTAAATTTCTTTAAAATTTTTAGATTCCTCGGCTTCATTGGATTTTTCAATTTTCTCAGAGATGATTCCCATTAATTCTGTTAATTCTCAAGGTTCAAAATTCAAATCTGTATAATCTCCAGTAAGTACGCCCCTGTGAGTTTCCTCACCCTTTGAAAGGGATGAAATTTTCATTTCATCGTTGGGGAGTGTGATACGAGGTATAATCAGAAAACGGAATACCAGCAACCCATTGGAGTTCTACGCAAAGAATTTGTGAGGTACTTAGTTAGTTTTCTGTAAATAAAAATAGGGGGCCTTTAATGAGCTCGTCAAACTGCATTATTATGTCCCCATTGATCCTTGCTAGGAGCAGAGAGGCGAAAAAGAGGCAGAGATCTTGCTAATTTTCCTTTGTCCAGCCCTTTCTTTGTTATTACTCCTGCTGTATAAACTGTACTAGTATTTTCTATGTCGAGCTACCACTCAAAAATTGACTAACAAAATAATTTGTATGTCCTGTTTTACTCCCCGCCCACTTGTCGATCCTAATACCCCCCCCCCCCCAAGGAATCCATAATGCAAGGGAAAATATAGTGTGACTACCTACTGAAATCCTTACGGCGGATTTGATAGTAATTTCTTTAATTTTGCAACAACAACAGCGTTTTATATTATATAACGTGAAATTAAGTAGATCTTGGATCTTGAAGTACCACATACGTTAGTTAATTTCACTAAATTTGAACAGAACTTAATATTGCTACTGAGTGCAAAAAAGACGGTATCATAAAGTAAACGCTATATGTATATTTGATGCATCAAATTTATTTTTCACACAACTGAATTCAAACCGTAACTTTAAATCAATTTTATTACATACAATTTAGTACACATATTATAAGATGTGACTGATGGTTGACACCATTTTGTTCTACTTCCCCAATCCCAAAGGGCAGCAGACCTGGCCAAACGGACACAATCCATAATTATTACCTCCTCCAAGCGGGCATGAATGCTTGCATGAGTATAATATCCCTCCGCATATCTTTTCCGCTGAGAAAAAATAAAAATATATATTTAGAGTGCTCTAAAAGCCAATTTAACAGAAAAGGTTTGATACATTTTTAATAGCAACGTGAAATTAAGTAGATCTTGGATGTATGACCCGTTTGGATAGTCTTGGATGAAATGGGAATAAGGTTATTTTGAGTGCAGGTTAAGAATTACATAAACGAGAAACACAGTTGTATCTTTAGTATTTTTTCTGGATATTTTAGTTTTTAGTAGTATGGTGTGGAAAAAAGAATAACTTACTTGTAGTTATATTGTAAGTGAGCAAGAAGTATATGTAGTCTCGTAAGTTGTACTCAAAAAAAGAACTCCAAGATGACTATTGAAAGTGAATAGCTAAATGTTGCTATAGTGTACATTAGGAAGCATACTTACCGATTGTTGAGGAGAATAAGACTGCAAGCAGAGCGACAAAGAACAACGAGACCTTCATGGTGGCTGAATGTTTAATAGTTTGCATACTTGCATTGCTGCATTTATACATCTTGTTATCTAACGCTATGCAACCAGTAACCTCGATACGACGTGATAGGATTGATTTTTTTCATAAGTCAATCAAATCCGTTTCTAATTCAAAACTAACCATGTTTAGGAAGTCTTTACGACTGCGACATATGCATGTACTTATTGAACGGATATGTTTATCAACAATAGTTTTGCTTTTGATATTTTGATTTTGTATCTACACTACAGTGATATTTATTAAGCAGTATACGTAAGGATTTACGGGTATCATCTTTCCCCTTTCCTTTCGTGTGCGATGTATTCAACTGGAGAAAAAGTTGATATTGTCAATTGGTATGGTGCCGCTTTTTTCTATGAAGTATGTAGAAAGGCCTTATACCTTGTATTAAAACAATAAAATTAGGCGCCCTTCAGAAAAGATTTGTCTTTTAAAAGTAGTCATAGAGAAAAACAATACTCGTAAATACCTATGTCTACTTCTTAATAAATGTTAGTTATATTACTGTATATACCATTTACTTGTTACCTACACGTTGTAAGGAATCAATTCTTCACATCTCGTGTACGGTGGCCATCGTTTTTTCTGTCAAGCTTATTCCGGAGAATAAATATAAACGACCGCTTCCAAAAGCTTATTGCTCTTCATAAAATATACCTACGTTCTTTGAAGGATTAAAGAAACTTGTTGATCAAATTTAAAACCTCTAATTATTGAGCGGCTGCCAACTAATAAATTTTTGAGAATGAGTCAACACATAAAAGATACCTACCGTATATGTACCAATTGTTCAACAAATGTACACAGAGTGCTCTGGAATTTACAACAAAATCCCCATTGGAACTTTTTCTTTAAAAATAAATTCAAATCTGATAAATAATAAAAGACTGTAGTTTCATCCTTGTATATCTAAATTGAACGATTTTTTGTGGATAGTTGAACGAAACGAAAGTGTTAACGAAACCATTTAGAAACAATTCGTTTTGTGTTAAACAATAAAATACAAATAAAAATAGCCGTTAGACAAAATTCACTTGTAGAAGAAAAAACATTGAAAATAACCCCATATCAGAGTCATAAAGGAAACTACATATTTGGAAAATCCATTTTATTCTTTATGCGGTTGAGTTCAAACAGTCATTTTGCATTGATTGTATTATCATCGTGTGACTTTTAAATAATTGAAGGTTGAAGGTCCATTGTCTCCTACTTCCCTAATCCCAAGGGACAGCAAACCTTTCCAAAGGGACACGCTCCATAAGAATTGCTTCCGATAAGCGCGCAGCCATCCATGCATGCAAACAGTCCTCCGCACGGCGTTTGCGCTGAGAAAAATAAATATATTAATTATGGTGCTCGACGAATCAATTTAATATAGAAAAAACAAGTTATAAAAAGCGGGTTTCCACATTGATAGCATTTTTTTCGAAAAAGTTAGTTAACCCGCCCAAATACGTTTTTTAACCATTTATCCAAAATGATGTTTTTTGAAAAGTACCTTCTGTGAAAATTTTGGAAAAATCTTCGCATACGCACTGGTTTTCAAATCGCTTTTACAAAAATCATCTTCAATTAAGTCGAAAAGGTAGCCTATAAACATGAAAGTGACATTCACGTCATTTTTATTTGCTTTTATGTGTGCTGAAATTTGTGAATTTTATGTGTGCTGGATTTATTTTTTTCGAATTTCAAAAAATCTATCCACAAACAAGAAAGTTGGGTCTGAATATGCGCGTTTCATTTCTTTTACGTGCACATAATAGCTCCAAGTCATAATTATGAAGAATCTTTATGAGTTTTCACTGATTAAGGATCAAAATGCAACAAGTGTATAGTATTTATACGCAGAATAAATAGCAAAAGTTTAAAATTGTGAAGGGTCAAAAAGATAGATCTTTTGGCACAATTTTTTCCTTGGTGGCACAACAAAATTCCTTCCTCGCACCCCATAACGAACCTAATGGCGAAAAAGATAGGTCAAATGTTGTTAAGATAAAGATGTTATTGTGACACACCCGCAGGGCCGGACAGAAGGACGGCCAAAGTAGCCACCATATCGCATTTTTGTCATTTTTATGGAAATGCGCAAAACAAAATAATAGAGAAAGGAAAAGTAGTAAATATAGTAGTTATGCCATAAATCTAAAATTCAAATTTGAAGTTCCAATCAGCATGAAAAATACATGAGTATGCATATTTACCAATTGCTGAGGAGAATAAAACTGCAACCAAGGCAAGAACGAAGATCAAGAACTGCATGGTGGCTGACTGTTCAATAATTAGCTAACTTGCATTGCTGCATTTATACATCTTGTTATCTAATACAATGCAACCACCAACCACTATTTGATGTGATAGGTACAATCAATTCCGCTAATAAATCAATTAAAAACGGTTCTGATTGGAAAGTTTTTTTTCTTAAGAAAATCGGAAGTCCTTACGGGATCGCAGTTATTTAAATATTTTAAATGAGAGCGTTTCCTATCAAATTTCGTCAAATCTCTAAAGTAAAGGGCACTTGTCTGCAGATGTGCCGGGACACATCCACATTTTTTTAAAATCACAGAAGGCGTCCTGCTTCAACCTTCAATGTGCCGAATATTTTCCTTCGTATGTGAATCACTTAGGGGAAGAAAAGTGCAGAATGAAGACGTTTCAAATTACAATCAAATTGCAGATACGTTCAATGGCCTTAAGATATTAAAACTGCATTAATCGCTCTGGGAAGGAAAAGGAAACATCGCCAATGTTTTCCGTTCCAAATACTATTATCGGTGCATACTGCGATATTTGTATATTCAACAGAAAAATTTTATGCCTGTTAGGGTTCACACGCTTAAAAATTCATTTAATTAAAGGCAATTAAATGCACAATGAGGGGAAGTTTTTGCATTTTGGAGAGCATTGGAGTCATGTAGGGTACTAACTCAACCCAATACCTACCGCCATTTTTCCAAAATAACTAAATTTTAATTAAAAAAAGTAGATGTTTCTTGTATAGTCGGCGTCGGGATGTGACGACCCCACCGCCCATTACCTTTTGGTAATGCAATCAGTCTCGCAGGTCAGCATGTGGCGTTTGGGAGGTGTTGTCACGTGCCCGAGATCCCCCAGAAGGGAGAAAACGTATTGTAAATTTTGTGGATTTCTTGGCCAGACCCACCGGAAAATACGTTTCAGTCTCCTACGATTTTTAGTTGGAACATGAATCACTGGACGGACGATACTAGGTATCAAAATATGGTACCGTGGGAATTTGATACAAACCTGAAAGAAAATGAAGAACCTAAAAAGAAAGTGATGGAAACGTGAAAGAAGCTTATATATTGATAGAATGTTGAGGAAAATTTGAAAAAACCATCATGGCAAATATATTAAGAGGACGATTGAGAAGCACATTAGCAAAAATTGACACGAACTTGAGAGGCGAAATTTAAGAAGAAGACGAATTTGATTGAAGCTTCAGCAAAGTTTAAGAAACACTTGAAGAAACATGAATCAAGTTTGAGGGCATGAGAAGGTGGACAGGGGCACCCAAATTACCACAGCTTACCGTTCGACTGATCCGATAGAAAAACTCGCCCTTAGAAGTTAGGCTTGTAATTTTTCTGTTGTGTTTTTTACTTTAAATCTGTAATTGCAGATGGTATGCCATATAAATCTTCTGATTTTAATGATATTATAGTGATATCGCTTTTTCGTAATAACAATTTCCTCCATTTTGAAGACTTTTCTTATAGGTAAATATAATTGCTTCACTGATTATCATAACGATATTTCGTCGAGAAATTTCCCGTATGTGATGGTTTTGTCTGTCCGTTTGTTCCTCGGCTAACTCGAGAACTAAAAGAGACAGCGATGTCAAACCTTCGCCAATTGATTTCTAGGAGTTTAAGGTTGCTATTCTTCATATCTTGTTATGGTTTCAATGTTTCGTGTTACTGACTATTACACCAATGCACCCACCAAAGAAAATTATGTTTCCCTTTTTAGTTTTCCTTAACAATGCTGCAAAACTTGTTAAATTAAACCTATAACCTTACAATATCTTTAGTTTTATTGCTTAGAAGTTACTTTGTATGTACTTCAAAATCACAAATAAATGAAGTACTTGGCACACAAACGATTTTTCCCCTACCACACACGACAGTAATTTCCCCTAGAAGACAAAACTATACAATTTTTATTTACTGCGCAACATTTAAATTGAAAGCTTACCTTGTCCGAAAAAAAATGCGCTACGAATCATTGACATAAATGCGCCAGCATCAAACATTTTGTTTCCTTATAACGTTGTGACAAGTCAAATAAAAAAAAATTGCATGGACACCATGTAGAACAAAACAGAGCAGAAAATCGACGAAATGGATTGTTAACTATTTTTCTAAATACCCTCAAATTAAATTGAGCAAAAAATATCAAATTGTGAAGTAAAAAACCACACCTATTTAAATCAAATCTATTTTATACATTTGAGCTCAGTTATTTGATGATAATGATAACATTGTTTCGGAGTTTATATTATATAATAACTGATTGGTTGACATCACTCTGTCCTACTTTCCTACTCCAAGAGGGCAGCAGATCTGGCCGTAAGGACACACTCCAAAAGCATTATTGCCGCCAACCGGGCAGCCAATTTGGCATGCAAATAGTCCTCCGCAAGGCACTTGCGCTGTGAAATGACAATAATATTAGCTCGATAATTTCAAAAAATACATGGTTAAGTAAAAGTACTGAAGAAGAGCATATTAAGCACACTTACCAATTGCCGAAGAGAACAAAATCGCAACCAAGGCAACAAGGAACAACAAGAATTTCATGGTGTCGACTGAATGTGTACTACCTAATTTGAAAATGTGGATTGGAGCTTTTATACGACTTGTTACCTAGCCACATCACACCATGTGATCTGATATAATAAAATTTCTAACCAAATTAATCAAGTGCGGTTATGATTCAAAAGTGGCCAAGCGTTTGTTCTTCTGTAAAACGGATAACTGTCAAAAATATACTTTGTCTAGAGTGGTTTTGCTTTTAGTGTTTTGATAAAGCTTGCCATTTCCTTGCGATAAGTTTTGGTAGGTAATTCTTTGTAAGGAAATGTATTATATCTCTTTAAAATAACAATACGTAGTTTTCCTAGAGGGTTTGTATGGGAAATTGCAAGATGCAGAAAAAGTGTACAGACAATAGACAATGTCGTAAAATCGCAATCCACCTCTAGTTTGCTTTGAGACTTGGATAGGTGTAGCACTAGATTATGCTTACGTTATGCCGCTAATAATATATCGCTTCATAGCAGCTGTTATACAGGTGTATAAGGGATATATAGGTATTTTAAATAAAATATAGGGACCTGTGGAAGAGGAGCCAAAGCAAACTTTTTTTAAATAACGGAGGATCAAAAACCTGGCAAAATTTGGTTTTTCCGTTAATTTTTCCACAGCAACCATAATACATGAAGGAAAAGCAGACTTATGACTTCCCTCAGTTTGTTGGGTAAAGTGGTTTAAATAGTAGTAATAATTTTAATTCTTTGTTCAACTTCACATTCCTGTAATTTTAGCATAGCCTGATGATGGGTAACTCATAACCCGAAATCGATCACTTTATAGAAAAACAATGAAAACATTCGTGGTTCTTTTTAATACTTCAAAAAATCACAACGAGACCAGAAAAATGGAGAACTTCATCACATATAAATAGTACAACCTGTACATGTTTTCTCATGGCAAAGGTAAATTTACTTTTCACTGTGAAATGCGTAAATCTGGCAAGTATTCCAGGTTATGACGGTAAAAAAAGGCCCCTCTGAATTTTCTGAATATACATGTATATCGATTTGCATGAAATTTAGATATAAGATTAACTTACCCTTAACTTCAAAATCTACTTTTTGCCAGTAATAATAATAATAACAACATAACTAATTTTAATATATTATTAAACCGTTGGGTATTCTTGTTTACTGTAACTTTACAACTTTTAAAATCCTCCATTGTAACATCACAACTCCGTTAGTGCATAACCATTAACCATTTGATAGATATGATTTGATTTGCATGAAAATTTGGAACTAAACTCTACTTATAATATATCCACTTAAAAACCACGTACGCTATACAGGTGAGAGGTTATTTTTTATAGCGGTGAAAACTACACGTTATCGTCAAAACTTATAGAACTACAAATTAAATCTTAAAACTGGTTGAAATCACATTACAAAAAAGTTGAAGAAAGACATTGTTTAATTCTCAGTAACATTATTTGTGATTTGTTAAGCCATGTATCCGTTTTCAAGATATTTGGATCGATCTCTCATTAACTTCCCCCTTCCCGACCTTTCAACTTCCAACCAAAAGACACCCATATCTCTCTACATTGTTAGTGAAATATTTGCTCTTAGTCTTTGTCCAAGCCTTTGACCCCGTATGAGGGATTCGATTTCGCTGTAAATGAAAGGTGCACATCCTCAGATTCTGATACATACGTTGAGTGAACCTTGTAGCCTTGTAGGCCATGGATAGTATAGGACCAATAAATTCAATGGTAGGACGTCGATTATCCGAACGTGAATTATCCGAAACGTCAATTAACTGAACCATGGTCTCTATTGTTTTAATGTAGATGAAAATAATATGGTCGAGATAATGACCACTCAGTCAAGCCTCTGCTCTTTAATAACAAATACATACAATTGATACAACACTATGTATTGTTGTGCGTCCTATTGCATTACAAATAGCGAAACCGACCTGAAGACAGAACGATTCTCCGCAATAACCCTCTAAAAAACGGATAAAGTGGAGTGCATATGACATAAAAGTACTGGCAATTTAGTTCATTTCAGGTAAATATAAGGGTTGCTTAACGATTCGATTATGCTACAGTGACTATAGAGACAGTGCTGTTATTTTCTATTGGTAGTTGATCCGCCATGTTTTAACCAAATATCCCGGTTTCTTAAAAATGAACCTGGAAACCAAGGTGATGAAGTCACCCTTTCCGTAACAGTTATGGCAATAATATTGTAACCGTAAAACAATCTACCAAAACAAAATGATAAATTTGGAAAAATACATGGCGGATATGGCCACACTGTCTTTATACAGTCACTGTAGACCGCATAGTGGACCGTACAATCCTGGACTACCATCTTGTTGCTGGGTTGCTTTGACAATATGGAACCATTGCATATGTAATTATAGGAAGAAGTATTTTCTGTAGTAAAAGTCGTATACAGAATATATTTGAGTTCGGCGCCAGGCGTTTTCAAGTCTGGCCATGTGGCATTCGACTTAATAAGTAATGCGTTCAATTTGAAGCAAATGCCGGGTTTTAGAAGGTTCCTGTATGTACTTGTCCACGTGACCAAGCTATTAGCGTTCCATGCTTTCATTCAATTCCATTATGCTACTAATAAGCCCATCCTGGACTGCGGTACTAAGTGTCCCTGATTCGAATCCGGGTTTGGGTATGGATATTGTAAATGTATAGTGGGTTAGGTTGGTAGAGCAGCCTTGGTTGAAACCCCGCCCACTCAAAATAAAGGGAAAAATAAAAATAAATAAATACTTTAAATAAACTCATTTGTCTAATTGATCTCTGATGTCAATTATTAGAGGACCAACATGGGTACTGTCATCGAATATTAATTACTTATACCATGGTACTGTTGAATATTGTAACATATTAATTACACATTTGTAAATTAAGGGTTATTATAGCTATGTTTGTGATTGATTAACGAAAAATCCTCGAGTTGAGGTAGCACCACTGCTAGCCAGTTAGAGCAAAACAATAAAAAGCGCATTTTGGGTTGCATCGCCGTTACGTATGGTGGAAATGGCAAAAATACGCGAAGATTTCAACCGGAATTTGCGTAAAATTCGACCGTCTTTCGAACGCTTACCTAAAACGTTGACCCAACTTTGATGAGACGTAAAATTCCTCTACAGAGTAACCGTTTTTTTTTAATCCATGTCTATCTGCTTTCGAATGAACTTATTTCGATTTCCCGAATTTTTTGCTCGTCGACTTCATCGCCCCCTCACGAGATAAATCAAGACATTTCCTGAAAGTGCTGTACTTCTCCCGGCCAAAGAGGCCCGATTGGACCGCAGATGACCGAGTAAGTACGAAAAATGTGTACGGAGACCACCCCTAACGGGAGTTTTCGCTTTTACCCCCGTGATTCGTGAATCTACAGATTCGTGTTCCGAAAAAGCATACATAGTTTGGACATGTGCCCACAAAAAATCGAAGAACCAAAATCCACTTGAAGGGCTGCGCCATTCCCATCCTAAACCGCACCGCAGGTTTGGTCCTGATCGCGCGCACTTCTATACGGTGAATTTTTTGCTCGGGCTGTGGACTTTCAAAAGGTGGTGAATCGGCTGGGGGTGTAAAGAAGTCGAATATCGGGTTGTTCAACAAATTTCCTTCCCTAAATGATTCACATTGACTGGTCATTATGAATAATCGCCGCCTGAATAGCAGTTAAATAAACCAGAGGAGCCCAGGTAGACAAATTGGCAACAGATCTGATCTGTCTGGATCATTGATAGCTTAGAGAAGGAAAGAGCGTAGTTCAATATTAAAAGCGCTATAGTCGAAAAGCAAGAAGTGAGAAATTTTGTAAACAAATTAACGGTATGCAACCAACATTACAGCAATACTCAAAAATCTATAAGCGTTATACTTCTTCCTATAATTACTTATTCAATGATGGAATAAAATTCTGTCAAATATAATGTCAACAGACATTTTAAGCATGGTGTTTCTGAAAGATGCCGTGTAATTGAAATTAAACTTGTTTTAATAGTTACGGCTACAAACGTTGCTATCTAAATACTTGTGGTACAATTTGTGATTCCAGGTATAATAAAAAAAAAGTTAAAAAGTAATCGTAAACGATTTACATAAAGCGCATTTCCACTTGCATTCATTTCCCATTTGTAAGATGCAACTTCTTTTAAAATCGTAAAAATCCGGCCACAAATATGAAAGATAGCGTTGCACATGGGCAATCCATTTTTGACGTGCTACTTCAATTTCAGTTTATGAGAAGAAATTCATTTCAATGCTTTTCTAAATAAGAAAGTTGGAACTGCGCATGCGCAAACCTAAATTTTAAAACTAATGTTAGATTTTCCTTTGTTCCAAGCGCCTAAGTATCAAATTTCACCTAAATGGTTCCCTAGATAAAAAAGTTGGCACTGCGCATGCGCAAAATAAAATTTTGAAACTAGCGCTAGATTTTCCTTTATTCCAAGTGCCCATGTATCACATTTCATTTAAATTCTTCCATAAATAAAAAAGTTGGCACTGCGCATGCACAAAGCCAAATTTTGAAACTGGCGTTTGATTTTCCTTTCTCCCAAGTGCCTATGTATCAAATTTCGTTTAAATTCTTCCATAAATAAAAAAGTTGGCACTGCGCATGCGCAAAACCAAATTTTGAAATTGGCGTTTGATTTTCCCTTATCCCAAGTGCCTATGTATCAAATTTCGTTTAAATTCTTCCATAAATAAAAAAGTTGGCACTGCGCATGCGCAAAACCAAATTTTGAAATTGGCGTTTGATTTACCTTTATCCCAAGTGCCTATGTATCAAATTTCGTTTAAATTCTTCCATAAATAAAAAAGTTGGCACTGCGCATGCGCAAAACCAAATTTGAAATTGGCGTTTGATTTTCCTTTATCCCAAGTGCCTATGTATCAAATTTCGTTTAAATTCTTCCATAAATAAAAAAGTTGGCACNCAGCGACAGATAGCAATGCAAAAATTATAAACGATCTCTAGGATCGTTAATAAACGGCAAAAGTGTAAAATTATGGAACATGTAAAAAACGGTTTTTTGTTTTTTTACAATAACTTTTTTTGTAAGCGGTACAGAAAAATTCCTTCCTTGGTACAAGACTCGACACCATAACGAACCAAATAGCGAAAAAAGTAGAACAATAGCTCTTAAGATAAAAAACTAGTAGCGTCGCAAAGTTAGCGGACGGACGGACGGACGGACGGACAAAGTGGCCACAATAGCGCATTTTTTTTTATTTTTGTGGAAATGCGCTAAAAAGAAAACGATTCATTTTACTTGTAAGTTGTAGACTTATCCGGGAATGCAAAGGCTTCTTGCGACGTTATTAGTACTAATTTATATGGAAATTTGTGACTATGCCCACTATAGGGCGAGTAGTAATTATTTTATGTGCTAAAATATTCTAAACTGAGATGTGATCTTTAAAATATATTAGGGGTAAAAGATGTAATTTTTTTAATGAAGAACACCTGATTGTAGTTTTCTTTGTGAGGGAAATTTCTAAATTCTGTTAATCGATAAAGGGCTATTTTGTCAAAAGGATTTCATGAATTAATCATGATCCCCTCGTTTTTAACGGACGTTCTTATTTACATTTGTATTCAGTTTATGAAGTTTGTTTGCACCACTGCCAAAAACTTCATGTTCCATCTCTAATTTTCTTATGAAATGAAATCCAGGGTCTGCCACGCAAAATGTGGCAAATAAACAAATCGTAATGTAAAACTCGGTAAAAAAAACTACACCTATTCGGGAAATCCAATCTATTTTACGCTATTTTATTCAGTTGAGCTCAGTAATTTGATGATAACATTGTCTCGGAGTTTATATTACATAATATGACCGTAAAATAGGTAACTGATTGGTATCACTTCACTTTGTCCTACTTTCCTACTCCAAGAGGGCAGCAGATCTGGCCGAAAGGACACACTCCAAAAGCATTATTGCCGCCAACAGGGCAGGTAGTTCGGCATCCAAAAAATAGTCCTCCGCAAGCTCCTTGCGCTGTGAAATAAAAATAATATAGCTCGATAATTTCAAAAAATACAAGGTTAAATAAAAGTACTGAAGAAGAACATATTAAGCACGCTTACCCATTGCCGAAGAGAATAAAATTGCAACCATGGCAACAAGGAACAACAAGAACTTCATGATGACTGAATTTGTACTACCTAATTTGAAAATTTGGCATGCCACTTTTATACGCCTTGTTACCTAGCAAAGCCCAGCCATGTGATGTGATTAATCAAATTTGTTGCCAAATTAATCAAGTGCGGTAAAGATTCAAATGGGGCCAAGCGTTTGTTCGCATATCAAAAATATGTTTTTATAAAGCCTGCCATTTCCTTGCGATAAGTTTTAGTAGGCAATTCTTTGTTAAGAATTGTATTAGATCTCTTCATTATAATAATGCGTAATTCACTTACAGGATTTGTGTGAGAAATTGCAAGATCCAAAAAACTCTTTAAGTAAGGGTTACAGATGCATTGAATTAAGGTATGGCGATATAGAAAGGTGGTAAGGAAATTCTCAAGGAAAATTCTAAACGTAATTTGGGCAATTCTAAGTAATCTGGTAGAATTTAGTAATGAGATCTAATAATTCAACAGAATACTGACACAGATATACGTAAAGAACAGATTCTTTACGTATATCTGTGCTACTGGTATACAATATACTCGCATTGAATAAAATATTTGGATTTAAATTTTGAATTCATTGTTATACTGTAAAGTCGTGTAGATCTTTCTTTTCACTTTTCATAACAGGTGTTATACAAGGTGTAATATATGAGTATAAAAAAATATTGTGCCGTTTATCGAGAGGGCCAGGAGAAATTCAATTATATACATTTATATAGGAGAATTACGACAAAGAATTACAGCCGAAAGCCAGCGAATAACTTCTGAGGTCTTTAGAAATGTAAAACCTCGGTTTGAATCAAGATTATATTATTTTATACCGAGTGATCCAAAAGTAGTGCGAACAGTTTGAATTTCCCACAAAACAAAAAAATTTAAAGTTGGTAACACGCCAAATGTCATTTATTTAAAAGCAGCGGCAGACCCATTTAATGAACAACTAAAAATAATAACAATCAATTAATTAAAAATATTAATTTTTCAAGCACAAGTTTACAACCTCACAATGATTGTTTAAAATGTCCACTATCATGTTCAAGAAACATTTGCACTCGACGGGTCATGTTTTGAAATACACGTTCTACATGTACCATCTCCTAAACGTGTTGCGCCACGCCATTAATATGAACGCATCGTCTTCAGGGGTAAACGCCATTCTCGGTTCTAACTAAAAACTGGGGTTTATATATGGGGATTATATAAATCCTGTTTTATCTTACGTACAGTACCTTTGTAAAATGTTGCACTTGCAGGGGCTTTGAAAAGAACTATTTGTTTTAAAATGCAAGGTTCATGGTATATACCTACTGTAAAGTCGTGTAAATATTTCTTTTCATTTTCATAACAGGTGTTATACAGGGTGTAATATATGAGTATGTAAAAAAATATTGTGTCGTTTATCGGGAGTGCCAGGAGAAAATAAAAACACACGTAAAAAACCGACTCCAACCAAGGGATTGTAGTTACTATGATTTGTGTATTGGGGAAACCATGACCGCCAACGCCTTAAGTAAAAAAAACAATGTTTCATTGTTGCCACTATGAACTTGAAGGTGTAATGAATAATGGCTTCTATATTTGACGATTTTGGATAAATATAATTTTGGAAACCCCTGCTCTTTGCGAACTAAATCTCGAAATCGCTCAGATTTTTTTACTAAAATTGATTTCGGGACTATAGGTTGTATGTTAACGTATGGTAAAGAATAGTAACGTTGCGGGTAAATATCATTGCAAATGAAAGGTTTCATATTTAGCGCTTTAGGTTTAGTTCGTATTCTGCTCCTACCCCGTGATGGTGCTCGCATATCAAAAATCATCTGTTCCCATCTACATCTACATTTGTATGCACTGAAGCCTTACAGTAATATATGAAGTTTGTGTGCACCATCGCCAAAAACTTAATGTTCAGTCGCTAATTTTCTAATGAAATAAAATCCTGTATCTGTCACTTGCAAATAATGCAAAATGTGGGAAATAAACGAATCACGAGGTAAAAACTACACCTATTTGGAAAATCCATTCTATTTTATACGGTTGAACTCAAACAGTCATTTTATGAGAACATTGATTATATAATAATAGTACCCTTAAATAACTGATTGGTTGACATCACGTTGTCCTACTTTCCTACTCCAAGAGGGCAGCAGATCTGGCCGTAAGGACACGTTCCAAAAGCATTATTGCCGACAAGCGGGCAGCTAACTTGGCATGCAAATAGTCCTCCGCAAGGCACTTGCGCTGTGAAACAAAGATAATATTAGCCGAATACCTCGTTAAATTGTAATTGCAAATGGGCTGAAGCCTGAAGCAAAACATATTAAGCGCGCTTACCAAGTGCTGAAGAGAATAAAACTGCAACCAAGGCAACAACGAACAACAAGAACTTCATGGTGACTGAATGTGTACTACATGATTTGAAAATTTGAATTGCTGCTTTTATATCCCTTGTTACCCAGTAAAGTGCAACCACCTCACACCATGTGATCTGATATAATCAAATTTGGTTCCAAATTATTCCAGTGCGGTTATGATTCAAAGGTGACCAAGTGTTTGTTCTTCAGTAAGCGGATAACAAAATATACTTTGTCTACAGTGGTCTGGCTTTCAGTGTTTTGATAAAGCCTACCATTTCCTTGTGATAAGTTTTAGTAGGCATTTCTTGAGCTAAAGTTTCAATTGTCGCCATATAAATATAGTTATGAAGGATTCATTACTAAATAATGTATCCTTGTGGAACTCGTATGTTGCTGAAAAATCTATCCTCAAGGTGTTCAATTTATGCAACAGTCTACCAGAGGCAGTCTACCTACTAACAAAAACTCTGCACCCACTTTTTGTCTATGGAAAAAAATTAGTTATTCATCGAAGCAAAAATCCTTTATCGTAGACATATTTTAAAATTTTTCTTTGGTCTTTTGATGCAGTTCGGGAGATTGCCTTCTTAGTGTACAAAAAAGGAGAAAAAAGCTTGATTAAATTGTCAACCCTTTGCAAGCAAGGTTGCTCCTAAATTACAAAAGTCAAACAAAAAGTACTTAAAAAGTACCCTTTTAGAAGTATATCTACACAAAAAAATGTTTTAATTACTTTCAGAAACGAAAATAAAATTAAATATTGACTTAATAATCTCGAAAACAAATTAAAAACATCATCAGACTTTACAATGAAATAAAATTGCAACCTTAAATTACTTTTAGTCGTGATTTATTCACGCAAAAAAAATGTGATTAAATTTAGATCAATTACACTTAGCGTAGTTTGATTGTCGGCATTAATTCGTGTTGACAAACTTGAACGAGACTTTGTATGGGCGAACAAGAGGGCGATCATTGTAAGAGGCTTCGCTTTCAGGAGATTTGGTTTTCATCAATTTTATTTCCCGGTTTTCTATAACAATCGTAATTAAAACTTAATGTGTTTTTAGTTAAAGAGTTGAAAGAGTATGTCGGGGTTGAAGGTTTTATTCCCCTGCGTAATTTACAATGCGAGTATTTTATTATTTTATTATTATTGTATATGTATAGGTAATACAGATTTGAGTATAAAGCGATATTTCGCTACGGACCGTATAGTATATTCTTCAGACCGACAAGATGATCGGTCGTCGATCGCTCTCTACGAAAACCGGTCTGATACGGTACTAGTACTTCAATGCTAGTACTCCACTACTCTCCAAGAATGGCTGGAAACAATACTGTTTCGAAAGTAGCGGGTCCTTCACCGGTTTCCGAATCGGGACCAAGGCGGTCTTGTTCCACTCACATAAGGTTTTCTAGGAAATCTAAAACTGTGGAAAGGATGGTTTAGATAGGGTTATATAGGGGGGGCACCTCCCATGCTCATTCTTCGCCTTTTACGATATCCAGGGGGTTCAATTCTGCCCCCGACCCCGCTGGGGTTAAAATTTTGATTTGTGCAATCCAAGATTCGATCATAAAGACCGAGCAGATCTTTATAGCCATTCAAAATGCAAGATATTATGAATCTTTAACTCAAATGTAAATGTTTTCGAGGAATCCAACTGTCTTTTAAGAAAATTCACACTAAAACTCACAAGCGAACAAAATAGTGGATTGAACACAATGAAGTGTCTACGAAGCTGAAAACATAATCAGGTCGGAAGACACACTTTTAGGGGCGGACTGGCACGGGGAGGGGGGGGGGCTGGTGGCGATTGCCACCTAGCCTGTAGATCATAATGGCCCGTTGGAAATTTATAAGTATGTGCTGTATTTAGTTTCTTGCACTATTAATAAATTATTAACACGTTTCTCTAATTGGGGTTGATGTTAGGTTGTTAAAAAATTCTGTTTTAATTGAAGTGTTTTACAATGAATTTTCATTTTTTGTCGTAGTATTTTGAAAGTGCTGAAATACAATGATAGGCGACGCACCTCGTGTGGACTGTATATTTTATTACTTTTGATTATCAGCTGCAATTTTTAAAAAAACTGTATGGTAATTGATTTTCGAGAAAGGAGTACTTTAAAATGTTTTTGTGGTGCACCTCAGAGGTAACCCCCCCCCTCGCCGCCTTCATTACTACACTAATACTTTAATGGCCCGTAAGTACCCAGTCCGCCCCTGTGTATAACCTTCCATTTTTAACAAAATTCAACTACACCAAAATTTCTGGGGAAAACTCTTTTCCTTATTAATTTGAGTTGAGTGCGTAGAATCCAAATCAATTCGTACTTTTTCGATCAGACTTCTCAATCAAAAGTTATAGACTAGAAACCAATTTCGAAAAAAAATTCAAAGGGCTGTAACTTTTGAATTAGTAGCCCAATCTTGGAACTGTTTGAAATTATGGATTCTACAGGCCACATTCTATAAGAAAATTTTTTTTCCGGGTCGATCTGACACAATTTTTTTTTCGGTGCTCAAAAAAAGGCAGTGTATAACCTTCCTTTTTTACCAAAAATCGACTACACCAAAATTTCTCGGAAAAACACTTTTTCTTTTTAATTTTGGTGCGTAGAATCCAAATCAATTCGTACTTTTTCGATCAGACTTCTCAATCAAAAGTTATAGACTAGAAACCAATTTCGAAAAAAAAAATTCAAAGGGCTGTAACTTTTGAACTAGTAGCCCAATCTTGGAACTGTTTGAAATTATGGATTCTACAGGCCACATTCTATAAGAAAATTTTTTTTCCGGGTTGATCTGAGACAATTTTTTTTTCGGGGCTCAAAAAAAGGCAGTGTATAACCTTCCTTTTTTACCAAAAATCGACTACACCAAAATTTCTCGGGAAAACACTTTTCTTATTAATTTTGGTGCGTAGAATCCAAAACAATTCGTACTTTTTCGATCAGACTTCTCAATCAAAAGTTATAGACTAGAAAACCAATTTCGAAAAAAAATTCAAAGGGCTGTAACTTTTGAACTAGTAGCCCAATCTTGGAACTGTTTGAAATTATGGATTCTATAGGCCACATTCTATAAGAAAATTTTTTTTCCGGGTCGATCTGAGACAATTTTTTTTTCGGGGCTCAAAAAAGGCAGTGTATAACCTTCCTTTTTTACCAAAAATTGACTGCACCAAAATTTCTCGGGAAAACACTTTTTCTTATTAATTTTGGTGCTTAGAATCCAAAACAATTCGTACTTTTTCGATCAGACTTCTCAATCAAAAGTTATAGACTAGAAACCAATTTCGAAAGAAAATTCAAAGGGCTGTAACTTTTGAACTAGTGGCCCAATCTTGGAACTGTTTGAAAATTGCCCACCTGGCTTGTAAGATCATATGGCCCGCATAATGGCCCGGTGGAAATTTATAAGTATGTGCTGTATTTAGTTTCTTGCACTATTAATAAATTATTAACATGTTTCTCTAATTGGGGTTGATGTTAGGTTGTTAAAAAATTCTGTTTTAATTGAAGTGTTTTACAATGAATTTATCATTTTTTGTCGTAGCACGACGCACCTCGTGTGGATTGTATATTTTGTTACTTTTAATTATCAGCTGCAATTTAAAAAAACACTGTATGGTAATTTATTTTCGAGAAAGGGGTACTTAAAAAGTTTTTGTGATGCACCTCAGAGCTAACCCCCCCCCCCCCCCCGCCACCTTCATTACTACACTAATACTTTAATGGCCCGTAACCTATGCAATTCCACCTGGCCCGCAGTTACCCAGTCCGCCCCTGCACACTTTACCATATTGATTGTCTTGGAACAAGGCGAAACAGGTTCGTAGGTTCTGGATTTTTGGAAACAAGGGGCAAATGTCTTTGAATGGTTAGGCAAAAGGTTTTTCTAGGACAATAAGTTCTTTCAATCAATTGCTCAAGAAAAATTAACAGAATTAAAGCTCAACATTCTATCGCATCCCCCACCCAACCTCAAAACATTTCTGAATTGAAAGACATTTTGATCGAATGAAGAAGTAGGCGATTCTTTTTGGAATCTCAAAGAGAATCTGTTACTATGGGTCTTCGTGTTGCGGTTGAACCAATTCCCGGAGAAAAGGGTAACCCGAGGTGCGGTTCTGAGGTCTTGTGAGATTCGAGGGGTTTTAAAAAAGAGTAAAATACAAAATGAACTACCGTTTTGGACGCTTTTCAGTAGAGAACCTTTCATTTTTCAGCTCTACACGAAATCTTGGACTCAACAACAGTTTGATGGTCGGTTGGCTGAACAAGTATTAGCTAATTTTCCCTTACTTATAGGTCATAAACATTGGCTTTAAACGCATGGACGCGGGTATATGCTTATATAGACTAGTCGTTACAATTTGCATTTTTCAACAAAATTTAAAAGTGCGAGTAGGTACGTATGTTGTGTATCTGTGAAAATTTCTTTCACACATGCAAAGAAAGCACGTTTGTGAAAGAAGTCATTCCAATCAGAAACGCGGTTAAAACTGCTTTCTAAATTTTCCCTCCTCGAAACCGCATTAACCGCCATCAAAATATCAATTCAGCTTTGTAATATATCTTGCAAATGAGAGAGGTCGGTTCATATTTTCTGCCAATTTGCGCTAATTTTGATGGCGTTGTAGCTCGTTTTTCTATTTTTCAGTCATGATTGTAATTCTACGCGGTTGGATGCGTTTAACGCGCTGTTAGAATCAGATTATTGTCATTTCCGCTTGACATTTAGTTCAATTTGTGACGTTAATGTCGATTTAATATCGCCCTAAAATTAGCGAACAATTTATTTTTGCGGAATTAAGTGTGAACGTGTATTGCCCATAACGTCTCTATCATCTCATTTTCTCCATTTGAATTTGATACTTATTACACAAGAATAAATCTTTTTAGTTTTTAATCGTCTTTTATAAAACGTAGCAATTCGGTTTAAAATAGCGTAGCCCATATTGCATTATACGTCTTTAGGGAGCAGCCGTGCGTGCACGCAAAGGGTATTTTGTATATACATATCTTTTATATTTTAGTTGATATGTTTGCATTCGAAACTACTTTGCGGAAAATTCAAACGTATAAATCAAATTGATTTTCTTCAC